CTACATAAGAGGTCTCATGTTTTCAAAACTAGAGCCGAAAACTTCAATATAATCCTTTAAATTAAATTGAGTTGAAAGTAAAATGGCCCGTTCCATCCTCATTTTACTTTCAACTCAATTTAATTTAAAGGATTATATTGAAGTTTTTTCTAGTTTTGAAACATGAGACCTCTTATGTAGCGATTTGGAATCATATTTGTAAATAAATAATTATATTTATGTTTCTACTTTTGTATCGAGCACTATTTTTAAAAAAAAAATAATAAAAAAAAAATACTAAGGGACTTTGGATTATTTACCTAACCAGTTCCTCCTATTTTCTATATTTTCACATATATATATATATATATATATATATATATATATATATATATATATATATATATATATATATATATATATATATATGTATGTATGTATGTATGTATATACAAATATAATAGGAAGGAAATACTGTTAATTTTTAAAAAGAGCCCAATACCAACAATGTCTGTATGTAACATCTTTTATGATGCATATATATATATATATATATATATATATATATATATATATATATATATATATATATATATATATGTACATATACACACAAATACACACAAATAAATTTATCCATACAATAACATATATAAATATATATATATATATATATATATATATATATATATATATATATATATATATAGAGAGAGAGAGAGAGAGAGAGAGAGAGAGAGTTTATGAAAACTAAGTAATCCGTATGGGTAATCCTAAGGAGGATAAAATCCAGAGAGCTCAATGTAAATCCAGAGCAAATAATTTAAATAAAAACAGACGACTTTATGGTTCCATGTAATAAATTATTTCACCACAGCCCTTTTAAAGGACTGCGGATCATCAGACTTTACTTCTCCCCCCCTCAAAAAAAAAATGAAAAGAAAATTTACAAAAACAAAATAACAGCGTCTGTTTCTAGCCTTTTTTTACAAAGAAAATTAGTGTCATCTTCTCTCTTAACTTCCTTCCCACATTTTCTCTCTATGTGTTTTTCTTCTCTACCCCTTTCGATATCAATATATAACTTCCGTTAAGTTAACCGTTTAAATGTGTCAATATCTGCTAACTCACTCATGTCTTTCTCTCCCCCTCACTTCCTCACTTCGTTAATTTATATATGTTTAATACGGCCCGTCAAAAATGTGTAAATTTTCTTTTCACTTTTTTTGTGGGGGGGGGAAAGTAAAGTCTGATAATCCGCAGTCCTTTAAAAGGGCTGTGGTGAAATAATTTATTACATGGAACCTTAAAGTGGTCTGTTTTATTTAAATATATATATATATATATATATATATATATATATATATATATATATATATATATATATATATATATAAAGAATATACAGTAATATATATAATCCGGTGTTCTTGTTATTTTTTTATCTTAATTTTACAAATGTCAATGCAAATTTACAAAGCATAAATATTATCAATTAACTGATTCAAAATATTGTTTTCGCTACACAGTAATATCCATGTTTCAAAAATGGAAGCTAAAAACTTTAAATTTAATTATATAATTAAATCAAAAGCATTAGTTCTGTTTCATCTTCAAGCGAATATATATATATATATATATATATATATATATATATATATATTCCATGATTATAATTCAATTAAATATCAGGACATAATCAGAATCAGAATACAATTTAAAAAAGAAATCGGAAAATTTGAATTTGTATGTCTGATGAATTTGATTACGATTCAAATATATAAAATTAATCATGGAATATTAATCTTAAAATTTTATATTATATTCTGACTCTGTCCTTGGACATTGAGTTCCACTTGGATTCTATCATCTTGGGAATCTTATATATATATATATATATATATATATATATATATATATATATATATATATATATATATATAAAATAATGAGAAAGCACAGTAAGGTTTATAATCCAGTGTTCTTATCAATTATTTAAAAAACAGTGCTCAATAAAATTTGTTGAGCATAAACATTATAAATTTACTAATTTTAAAATATGGTTCCTTCGCTACACAGGAATTACCATGTTTCAAAAACAGGAACTAAAAACTTAAATTCAATTATAAAATTAAATTTAAAATCCTTAATAGTGTTTCGTTTTCAAGCGATTTTTGGAATAACTCATTTTGAACTTTACATACATTCTTGACATTAGTTGCTAAGGTTACCGAGAAATTTAATCATTTTGATAAGGGGAGGGTAGGGTATTCATTTTCTCTGACAACCTGAGTATCAAAATATGAGTTACTTTTAAAATGACGTTAAGTTATGGTAGGATAGGGGTGCCTTATCAACAAATGATGACATCCGTTTTTCTGTTTTTCGTCTGGCTTTTTTCAATGACAAAATGTTTTTTGGCATTTTTCTTTTGCTGTTAAACTTATAATTGTATACACAAATATTTTTTTTTCAAAAGCGTCGTTTGAATATGTGTACATTGTATTAAAATACAATTTTAAAATATTATTCCTGATTCTAATTACTAATAGATTACACTTTTTTTTATAAAACTAATAAATATATTACAATTACTTTCTTAAAAAAGCTTTTACTTGCCTTTGTAAATAAGTTATATTAAGGACATTATTGCCTGAAGAAATAAAGTTTTTCAGATGAATAATGAATTTTTGGAAGAACTTTTTCATTTTTTAAAAATCTTAATCATAATAGTGCTCAATAAATAGTGCCCAATACAGAATTTTACACGATTTTAAACTATTATAAATAATAGTTTAAAATCGTGTAAAATTCTGTATTGGGCTATTTCCTGGATGTGACAGTAATTAAGTGGAAACGAAATTTACGAATCCATAATTGAAAAAATTAATAAACGTAGTTACGCCATTCTATTTTTAAAATAATTTTTTTTATTTTTTTATTTAATTTGTCCCTATTTTCATCTATGAAAGTCTAAAGGTGACATTATTATGAAACAGAGTTTTGCCTTTTTACAGAGAAATTAATTTAAGAAAATTTTATAGTATTTTAATTTTTCTATTTTTGCATAAAGCATCTTCGAACGTTAAATAAAAGTCAATAAATTATTAGATAATTGCGGAAAATATGTCCATCTGTAAAAATTAGTAGGTATTTAAACACCAAAAAAAAAAAAAAATAGGTTCACTTAGATTTCTTAAATTTTGTATAATTTCTAGCCAGCCATACTAGCTGTCATCGCTTCGTCACTTATCCCCCATCCATTATCGCCTCAGATAAGCTATGATAATCAGGACCAATCATTAAATAAATGGTTGTATATTACTTTTTTATCCTATAAGTAATATTTATTTCAAATCAGATTAATTTAACTTTAAATTTTCTAATTTTACTCAAATAACGTGTCATAAATATATATATATATATATATATATATATATATATATATATATATATATATATATATATATATATATAAAGAATTTTAAAAATATTTTTTGTTTACAAATTTTTGAACTAACAAAATGTCCGTCTTTTTAAAAATTTTAAGAAACCGAAATTAAATTTGACATTCTAATCCCTATAATTTCTATCTGAAATACAGCAAAATATTTTACTTGCTGGAAATAATACATTTAATCATTTAGATTTCAATTAAAGCTAAAATTTTCAAGAATTTTTTTTTTTTCATTTTTATAAATTCATTTTAAACTTTAGTTATCGAAAATTCATTCAGAAATAGGGGAGGTATCTACTTTTGTGACCCTAGGTTTCAAGCATTTTTTGATGATCGCAAAAACCGTAAAAGCCAGGGTCACAAACTCATATCCATACAGATATTACGAAAGTGACTGAAGTGATCACTAGTGATGGCGTCATTATGCCTCGTTTTCGTTTCCCCACAAGGCCTCAGAGTCAACACGTATGCCAAAATCATTGAGGAGGTAGTGCTACCTTGCGTCAAGAGTGTGGCTGCTGGAAAAACCTATATCTGCCAACAGGACTCTTCACTATGCCACACAAACAGGAGATCACAGCTATGGCTGTCAGACAATTTCTGCGACCACATCACATCTGGTCACCTATCTCCTCAGACTGCAACTCCCTTGATTATTATGTGTGAGGTGCAGTCGAGCGAGAGGCTAGCAAAACTCCTTGTAACGCCAAAGATAAACTGAAGGCAAGGATTATGGCAGCATTCACCAACTTAAACAAGGAGAACGTCCAGAAACTTGCAGGAGATTCCGAAGTCGTCTTCAGGCCGTGGTTGAAGCCAATACCGATTTTATAAATTTACGCTTTAGTATTTCAAGATATTTCTGTGTGAGTTTGGAAAATATATATGTTAAAATGTGATGTCAGTATGAGGAAAATAACATTTATTAAAAAGTCGTGTTTCTTTTCTCCCTCACCTGTTCACTCACATTCTCATACAACGTTTCTTGAATTTTGTAACTTTTCGTTCAATGTAATGTCAGCATATTTAAACCATTGGCGATTTTCGCTAAGGAAGATCATACGTGTAAACATGTATTTCCTTCAAAAACAGCAAACGTCAATGATAATTTTTTTTTTCTAGAGAATATACTTCTTTTAGAGATATTTTTGTATTGTCAAATGAATTTGTTTAGAAACAAACCACATGCCTCAGTGTGTGATAATCACTCTCCCATCAATGATAATATAACAAGTCTATTTAAAAAAAATATCGGCTTCTTTCCATTTCTTCGGCAGGTGCTTATACGCATGCTTTTTGTTTGGGAAAATGGCCGAGGTATCTTTATTAAAAAAAAAAACATACTGATTTTTTAATAGTGGGCCACTGTTCGATGATGATAGCCCATACATGGTTTAAAGTTTTAAATGACCCTCGATGAAGTGCTATGATGATGAAATTTACTGAATAGCATCGCCTGATAAAAATGATTTGGTTTGATTTTTTTTACGGTATATCAACCTCAATGGGTTATTTTAATGCCGACAAGATTTTTATTGATGGTAATATTTTTTATCTATCTCAGTCAATTTATATCTATCTATCTATCTATCTTAGTCTATTTATATCTATCTATCTATCTGTCTGTCTATCTATCTATCTATCTACCTCAGCATATATTGGTTTGGATTCTTTTGTTTTACGGCATATCAACCTCATTGGGTTATTTAATGCCGACAAAATTTTTATTGCTGGTAATATGTTTTTCTTCAAAAATCTCTTTCTGGGAATATTTTTCCTTGATGAAATCTATAGCTGGTCATATTTTTTTTCAAAGAATGTATAACTGTATCGCTGGTATTTTTTTTTAAAGTAATTTTTGATAATAATTTTTCCTTCAAAAATTATTGCTTTAATAATTTTTTTTATTACAAATTATTTCTGGTATTAAAACCTATTTTTGCACAAGTTTCGGTGTTAACTCTTTGCCCATAACTGGGACCCTGACAGGTGCTACCACCCGGATCAGGGTGGACCTGGGAACACCATCAATTAAGAGGAAGGTTCCACGCTCCTCAAAACCTCCTGAACATAGACCTTACTGTTGGGCGTAGTTTATCGTCTTACCCAGGACGCGGATGCAGTTTATCGTCATACCCAGGACGCCCTGGTAAAAATGACTATTCTTAAATGTATTCTTAAATACTGAAACAAATGTTATTTCGGTTATATTGGTTTATATTTATGTGAATTACCTCCAGGATTTGTAATCGTTTTTGTTTTCAGTTTCTTTCTTTACAGTATAAGCGGAAGATTACTGTTATATTGTCCCCTAAAATCTGATGGAAATTAGAAGGGTTAACGTGTATTTGTGCCGTTTAAATAATGCACTTTATTTAGAGAACTGAAAGGTTAGACAACTCGAGGGAAATGTCTCATGATCAATGCACGAGCAATGTAGATAACGGAATTCGCCCTACCACAGATTCTGGCGTTTTTTTTTTTTTTTCATTAAATTTTGATAAGAGGGGCGCCCTGAAAACTTTTCATCTTTATACATAATGTTACATATATGCGGATCTCTCTCTCTCTCTCTCTCTCTCTCTCTCTCTCTATCTATCTATCTATCTATCTATCTATCTCTCTATCTATCTATCTATCTCTGTATATCAATATGAATTTTAAACAGCACGTGTAAGCTTGCTAATATTTCTTTTATTTCCCTTGAGGAATTAATGAAATATTAACTCGAAATATGTGTGAAAATCTCACGTTTTTTTAATTTGGTTTTTCTAATGAATTCATAATTCTTAAGTTACTGATTGAATAAATTCTATAAAATACCTGCGAAATTTCCCTTATTGCTCCGTTTAAATATTTAATCTTAGAAAATTTAAGAAAATATGGCAATAACTATAATAAATATGAATATATCAGTAAAAGAAGACGGCCGAAATGCGATTTGAAGCAAGTAAATGCGGGGGTTTAAATATCTGTGAAGCGTTTTGACGGAGGACGGTAAGTGCGACAGTGAGATCCGTAGACGTATTGGGATGGCCAAGGACGCATTCCAAATGCTGGGCAGAGTATTGCGAGACAGGAGGATTTCTTCGGTAAAAAAGAAAAGAATACTGAGCTGTTATGTGACATCTGTCCTCCTTTAGGCAGAGAATGTTGGACAATTTCCTCAAAGATGAAGAAGAGACTCAAGCCGACGGAGATGAGGTTCTACAGAAGGTTGCTAAGGATATCATGAACTGAACGTGTGAGCAACGATGAGGTCTTAGAGAAGATGCAAACAAGAAGAAGGCTTATACTTAACATCAGGAAGAGGCAGCTGAAGTTTCTAGGAAAAATAGTAAGGAAATAGGGCCTGGAGAATCTGATACTCACAGGTCGAATAGAGGGAAAAGAGAGACAAGGGAAAGCAATGCATGACATACCTGGCCGGTTTAAGCATGTTGTTGACCGAACGTGGTCCGGGGGAGGTAGCACAGGGAAGGAACTTGTTGAGAGTTGCAAGGGATAGAGGGAGAAGTGGAGAGCCATGATCACCTACATCCCGAAAGGACGTGTCATATAAAAAGAAACAGGGTCAGTAGTGAAAGAGATAAGAATGAAAAGAATTAGAAATTGACAAGTATTCCCATTTCACGAAAGGAGACGTTAAATTCATGAGAGTGATATTGTCTCCTCTATCTCTCCTTTCCTACTTTCTTTCTTTTTTTCTTTCTTTTTTCTTTCTTTTTCCTTCTTTCTTTCTTTCTTTTTTCTGTCTTTTTTCCTTCTGTCTGTCTGTCTTTCTTTCTTTTTTTCTGTCTTTCTTTATTCTTTCTTTTTTCCTTCTGTCTGTTTGTCTGTCTTTCTTTCTTTTTTCTCTCTTTCTTTTCTCTTTCTTTTTTCTGTCTGTCTGTCTGTCTTTCTTTCTTTTTTCTTCTGTCTGTCAGTCTTTCTTTCTTTCTTTTTCTGACTAAAATCGGAAAAGGTCTCTGAAGTGTCTTTTCCGCCTTTCCTCGTGATCGAAACGGAACAGTCCATTATTTCTGCGGGCATAACGTACGTGTTACTTAATAGGTTTGCCGATCGCTCGGTTCGCATCCCTCGACTGTCTTTTGAACGGAAGTAGAGATCTGTACCTTGTTACCTGCTTAGAATTGAGTTTCCGGTTCCTTCTAAAGTCTATAGTGAACACTGAACTGTTATTTACTAATAATTTTTTCTTCTCCTCAATAGGAGCAGATAGGTTCGCCTATCGTCCGGTTCACACTCCTCCGTGGACCTCTGAACAAGATTAGAGGTTTCTCTCTTGCTCCCTGTTTAGGAGCGAGTTTCCGGTTCCATCTAATTCTTTTCATTCTCTTTCACCCCCTGTAAGTCTCTTGCATCTTACTTGCATTATCGCTTTGCTTGGAGGTGAATTGATTAAAAAATAACTAAGGAACAGGCCGATTTATAATATGATTCTGGATATAGACGAATGAATTTCTTTGCACAAATTCTTAAATATATATACATAAAAATATACCTGTATACGTTTCTATCTGTCGAATGTAGATTCCATGCAACACCTGCACACCTATTAGTAATAGTAGCATTGGATAATCGCTATATATATATATTTTTTCTTTTGCGAATTCTCGTATTCTGAGTTCCTCTTCCTCGTGTTTCCTTAATCAGCCTCTCCTTGCAATACGCACACACACATGGATATATACATATAGCGCACACAGATACATACACGTATATATATAAAGATTTTATTGATCACACACAAACGTGTACACACCCATTTTTATTATAATTTTTTTAAAGATTTTCGAATAAGTTGTTGCACGTGTTAAGCGACACGATATGAAATCGATCAATATTCAACAGATCAATGACTGTGAAAATATTTATAGAAACTAGCTTAGAGGCCGCCTTCTCAAGCGGCATTTAAACCAGCTCCGGCGGAAATCTCTTCATTAGGCTTTCATCACAATAGCTAGGCAGGAGTAGATGCGATAAGAAATAATAAACTACAGAAAAATTCAAAATTGATCGCTGCATTTAAGTATTGCATTAATATTTAAGCTTATCTTTTTAAATGTTCAGCGATAATCTGTCTATATTTCTGAGATGAGGTATTATGTACAGTATTTACATTAGTCGGACTATTGTCCTCATCTTTGTCGCCATATTTGTCACAACGTTTGTCAGAAAACAGTCTGCCTGCCTTATGTGAAGGGGTTATCAGAGAAAATACAAAGGATCTGTGGTCCATATAACATCAGGACAACCTTCAAAAGCGTGACAACACTTCGCAGGTATCTCTCACGGGTGAGACCCCCCACAGAGAGGAACATGACTAAAGACTGTGTGTACGCTATCCCGTGCAGCTGCGGAAAGGAATATAAAGGAGAGGCAAGCCGCCCCCTCAAGGTAAGGCTTCAAGAACACCAGAAAGCTGTAACACGAGGGGAAGTAGATAAATCAGGCATGGCTGACCACATATGGAGAGAAGGAGATCACCGCCCCTGTGGGATCATGTTGAGATCATAGACAGGGAACACCATTGGAAAATTCGTAAACTTAAGGAATCAGCACATATGCTAGGCCACAAAAATCTCCTGAGTCGACCAAGCATAGAAATAAATACAATATGGGAACCAGTAATAAGGAGTGCCAGAGAAAAGCAATGATAACAAAGTTGCAATATGAACTCTGGTAAAGACATGAAATGATAACAGCAAAAATTGCAATATGAGCACTGGTAAAATGATGCTGAAAACATTAGGTTTATAATACTCAGAAGTTCATACCCAGATGTCCTCAAGTGGATAAGGCGTTGGTTAGATCCAGTGACAGACCCAAAAGAAGGTGAGTTCAATTCCTGGTTAAGGCAGTGGAGAACTTTCAGGGGGAAAATTAGCAGGAGATAACTGATAACTGACATCCATCAAACATGGCACGTGGAACTAGAACAGTCTACCCCAGTGATCGAAATAAAGGGTTCAGTTCGAAATTCTAACCACCTGAAGAAGGCCGGAGCGTACAATGGCCGAAACGTTGTAACAAATATGGCGACAAAGATGAGGACAATAGTCCGACTAATGTAAATACTGTTCAGCGATAATTCTTCTGCCACCACTTAACTTAAAGACAATTTGATGTAGGTAGGACCTTATTTTCCGTACAAACACTTATTTTTATTTCATTGATGACTTTCACTGGATGTCAGAATTAATTTCTATTATTCCCAAATTTAACTTCAAGTTATAAAGATTGTTATCGTACAAAAAAAATCTGTCGCAAAAAATCACGTAAAAAATCGCCGAACTAATGAACACTTGGGAATCTCAAATTTCTGGATTGCTGGTCCAGATCTGCCCCGGAACCTTTGTAATTTGCTCACGGAGTCGGCTTGATTCCAAAATGGTATATGTTGGGCTACGACCTCTAGGCGTAAAGTTGAAGAAGTGTGACACACACTCATTAGCATTTATTTATGGAAAACTATTTTACGGCGTTGGGAGTGTGATTTTCCCACCGCCGAGATGCCAGGTCTGGATCAATAATTTTGCAGATTCATCTTCCTCACTGTCAAAATTTTGTCAAGAATATCTAGATATAGAAAAGAAGTACTAGACTTGATGTGGCAGAAAAGGAGTGACCCTCGTTTATCGCGGTAGATTGGCTCCGAGACTGGCCGCGATAACTGAATTTCCGCGAAGTAGGGACGCCATATTTACAATATTTATTTAACGTGTATTTGGACTTTTAAAACCCTCCCTGTACTGTTAACAACCCACAGATTACAGTACTCTATTAATAACAAGGACAACTATTAAGCAATAACACTTTAGATTTAAAAAAAATAAAAATTGTTACTGTATTCAACACGAAAGAAGCTGAAGTAGAATTTGGATGATGATGAATTTGCTGCGCAGTATAAAATGATGATGATGAAGCTGCTGATGATGATTTCTACTGTGCAGCCGATAATTGTATTTTATATCTCTTCAGACGGCGGTGGCCTTTCTATTGCTATTTTACGCTTATTTTGTTGTTCCTAGACCAGGAAATAATATTTATTATTAATATTTTAATGGGCTTAATGAAAAATTTTAGGTGTCCACATATCGCCATTTTTCTAGAATTTTCCAGAAACTCCGCGATATATTTTCCATATATATATTTTTAAAATCCGCGAAGTTGTGAATCCGCGATAGTAGAACCGCGAATTAGCGAGGGATCACTGTATACATGAGCAAGATAGATTTCGAAGAGAAAGATTGTTTAGCACGACACAGTGAACCAACTTTCCTAGAAGCAGATTTGGCAATTGGAATGAAAAATATAGATTAGAAATATAATATAGATATTGCAACAATATATAAATAAATACTAGGTCAGGACTATATATCTAATGTACTTATAATAGTAAAATTATATAGTCACACACGTTATAAATTAATCGGGTAAAGTAATATATAAAAATAAGGCATAAACAATAAATATATTAAAAATAATTGTCGGACTTCGTCCATTTCATTATATATATATATATATATATATATATATATATATATATATATATATATATATTAGTGAATATACATAATATCCAACGAAGATAACACGGCTCGGAGTTTCATGAAATTAATTCAATCTTCAAGTGTGGAGATTCTGACCATTAACTATCTTGTTCTTTTGATGATGATTTAAAATAGGGTTTACAAACTTGTCTATTTAAAATATAGAATTAACAATTAATAATTCACAACGATCAAATTCCTATGTCGGAGATTTAAAATAATAATAATAATAAAATAAAAATTATTTGAAATTTGAATTTGGATTCGAAAGTAAACAATATACCAAAGTGGCAACACGGTTTTTAGCATATATATATATATATATATATATATATATATATATATATATATATATATATATATATATATATATATTATAAATTAATTGATTTAAAATATGGTTATTTTTCTACACAGTTCCAACCATGTTTCAAAAAATAGAAGTTAAAAACCCTAATTTTATTTTTTGCAAATAAATTAAAAGCATTAGTTCCATTTCATCTTCAAGCGAATTTTGGAGTAACTTTTAAAATTATTAATGCTCTGTAAATTTACATTGAGCACTATTTTGTAAAAATAAAATATCTATAAGAACACCGGATTTTATATCTTACTGTTCTTTTTTTTTTTTATATATATATATATATATATATATATATATGTATGTATATATATGCACATTTCACTGAAAATGACAGACAAGGTACTTCTGTTTATTTCTTTATGTAATTTCTCATGCGATCTAATAATTATTTTTCTTTTCGGATGATAAATTATATAAAAACTGTCCGAATGTTCTTTTTATCCGAGCGCTTTCGGCTGTACATTTAGCCATTTTCAAGGATTAAATATTTTAACTGTTAAATGAGAAATAGTTTGTTGTGTGTATGTTTTCATTTTTCAAAACACTGTCAAGGTTCAAAGTTAATATTATTAGGCGTTTTTTTTTTTTTGTTTATATTAATAAGGCTTCCATTATTTGGGGGTATTTTTTGCATGTAAATGATGCTATTACATTAGTGTTCTCAACAAGTATGTTACGAATAGTGTCCCGTAGGTCTCCATGAATATTTAAATGAGATCTAATTGAGTTATTGTCAGAAAGGTGTAGAGTGAGTCTGCGTGTCAAACATGTTGTAGTGTGACCTCTATAATTATTTACGAATTTTGATTGATTCCTTAATGGGCATTTAAATTCGTAAATAATATTTGGCCTACTGAATTTTGTTCTAGGAGGTGAATTATTATTTTTAACTATAAGGATAGAGGTTTTAAATGTGCATGAAAGAAGGATTGCTGCCTAAATACACAAACACACACACACACACACACACACATATATATATATATATATATATATATATATATATATATATATATATATATGTACACACACA